TGAATACAGCATTTTTTTTGCCTCCTGAAACTCCGCCCCTTCACAAAAATGACCATGCATAGCCTTATGGAGGCTTATAGAGTGCTGCTGGGAGCTGGGGGGGGGGGCAAAAAACAGCCCATTTTTTGCTCATTTCTGCCCTCCCCAGCCCCTAGGAGCTCTCTGAAAGCCTCCATAAGGCTATGCATGGTCATTTTTGTGAAGGGGCGGAGTTTCAGGAGGCAAAAAAAATGCTGTATTCAATGTATAAGACGCACCCAGATTTTCAGCCTCTTTTTTGAGGAAAAAAAGATCTGTGTTATACTCCAAAAAATTTGGTAATTACAATCTATATTGTAGCTTTGCTCAAAACGATGTTTATCTCTAGAAGGTGTTGACCTAGAGCAAGCTTTTGAGTAGAATTGGGTATGTGCACTTAAGAATTACCTCTTGCTCTGAACTCCTGCAACCTTTGAACTATCTTGAGCTGTGAGAAGTGTTGCACAAGCAATTAATATGGACAATTTTGGAGCTGCTGTCTCTCCAGAGTCTTGGATTCCCTATAAAATTTGAAATACACATATAAAGAACTTGCTCATTTAATTTGATAATTACTTCATGCTGGTGCGCTGTGTAGACATGACAGAGCTGGTTCTTGATTTAGAGGCAATTTGTTCAGGTCACCAAGGGCAGCATTCTTTGCATACTTAAACTTGTAACTTTGGGTCATTCTCTCCCCTTTTCCCAAAATGAGAATGTGGTTGACTTAAATGCTTGCTCTTTTTGCTGTTGTAAAGCATACCTGAACAATGTTTCAAAGACCAACTGCAATCCCTACTCTGCTTATTTGTGACCACCTGGGGAATAATAGATACTGAATGTTATGTCCCTGCTTCTTCTCTGCAGAGAGATCTGTGGGACTGAAGAATAAAGTAAGAGATGGAGAATGTAAAGATCTGTTCCTATTGCTTGGAAGAATTTCAACACTGAAGTGTTAACTGTATCTGCTGACAATGAAGGATAATTTTTAGCTTATTCTGGTAAAAGAGGAGCACAAGGCTTTTACAGAGCACCAATGTGTGTTGTTCTAAAGGAGATGATGCTTTTTGTTCAACAATTTTGTAGATAGGGGACTTGAAGAAAGTAATTTAGTGAATTATTTGACCACTGGGTATGTAGGAACTCCAACAACAGGCACATGATAAATCTTCAGGATAATAAGGAATATTTGAAGCTCTGTTCCAGTTTATAAGAAGGTTTCTCCAGCAATTTGAAAGATAACCTTTTCTTCTTGCCTCTTAAGCTCTGCATTTTCACAATTTCCATCTGGTATGTTCTGCGTTTCTTCTAAGACCGATCTTCCAGCTTCATGAAGTTGGGCAGGCAGCCATAAGGTGAGTAACTTTTCTTGGATTAAGGGATACATTTGCTCTTGGGTGGTTTCCTAAGGATTATACTCAAAATTAGATGGAGCCAAAATAAAAAAGGCAGAACCAAAAGGGCTGGAGTGAACAAAAGAGCCAGCTGTTGATTGTTCATCAATTAATATATGCAATAATAGAATAGTCTGCTTCTAGTATTGACCTTATAGAAGTAGAAGTGAAAATTTAAACAAAACAACATTTCTTCATATGTAAACTTATACCAATGTCCCTCCTTTTTTAGAAAAAAAATCCTCTGTTCTTTAATAATAGTACTATTAATAATGTAATAATTTTTATTTATGACTAAAGGATCTGAACACTATATGATTAAAATGAAATAAACTGCTCCAATACTCAATAATCATTGAGGGCATTTGAAAAAAAAAACAAGATTTAAAAATAAACTAATCAAATGTTCAGTATTTCTTATCCAGAAATTTAATGATACTGTCCTCAATATTTTTTTCATTTGTCAACCTTTTTTCTAACTTCAGCCTTCAGTCTTTTCTGACTACTAAAACTGCTTCCAAGCAGTTTGCCCCTAACACTTGATGTAGTGATTTGCTGCCAAAACTCAATGGGAAATTAAATTATGGTAATTTGGGTGAGGGCTGCAAGGAAGTGAACCAATACCTTGGGAGGATGCCTCTGGCAAACAGATTGCCCATACATATTTATCTCTGTGGTTGTGCCCAGCATGAGTAATAGATTCTTCAGGTCCTGGAACCATACTCTTTAGGACAACACATAAAATACTATCTGTGTAAGAAGAATTTCATATAAAAGTTTTAATAATTCTTAAGGCATATGGGTAACTGCTTTATTTTGGCAATGTTTGTTTTTAGTTACTTATTTGGGCTTTATATCTTTACTTCAGATAAAGTTGATTTTATGTTGCTTTCCTATGAAATAGGAAGGAAATTTAGCTTCAAAACAATCTATATTTGTCCCATGTTTCTCAGAAAATAAAGAATTGGGTAGCAGATTAAATCTACACTGAAAATCTTGATTTTTTTGGTATACCACTCTGAGAAACAAAGGGGAAACATCTCTTGGCCATGCTCTGCAATGTACTGAACGTGCATCTCAAGCATTCATAATTTTCTAATCAGTGAGATGAAGTTGGTGGTCGGGAGCAGTTAGTGCAATTAATGAGGAAAATAATGTACATTTTGAACAAGAGGAATGTATTCTCTCATGCACGAAACAAATACATTAGCCCTTCTAATTGTGAACAGGAGGGATTTAGGCCTTGTCTTCTTTTCCCTCAGCTACTTGTATCTGAGCTTCAACACAGTCATACTCTTCTGCCTAATAGGGAACCTTAGTTCCGATTCCCCCCCCCCCCATTTAGGAATCTGATTCTCTATCATAGTGTCTTAAGATATGTTGCAATTCAGAGATAATTATTTATCAAAATAAATGTTAAATAGAACATATCCGATGGCATTTTTCAGTATAGATCAGTCCATCTTATAATAAAGTTTTATACATCAACACATGTTTTGTTAATAATTGTTATAATACTCATCTGTTGTAATCTGAATATGTACCTTCCTCTATGACTTTCTTTCACTGTAACATTTAATTGGACAGGCAAGGTTTTACAATTAAGAAAAATAATCTGAAGCCAGAGTCATGCCAAAATAATGAAACATGCATTATGCTGTCTTAGGGCTAGCTCCAGCCTTTCATGTTTGAGTTGTGAAGTTACACAGAAATACATAAGGGGGAAAATTTGTATTATGACATTGTGGCACATTTTCATCATTTTCCTCATGAATTCCTTCATCTGAAGCTTGCATCCAAGCACACCTGAAAGTTCTGTTTTTATTCAGGCTGTGGTCCTAAACGTACTAGAAAACAGGCTGTATTGAATACAAGCCATATTTCTGAATAGATACCTAAAGTTGTTTGTCTATCTTGTCTGTTGATAGTATTGCCAAGCCTACTCCTCATATTCCTTATAAACTTAACTATTATCTCACTCAAGTTTAGCAACTCATTATAAATTGGCCAGGAGCTGATAAAATAAGGTCCTATAGTCATAATAAATTCAATTCACATATTAAGTTTAAATTTAAATTAGTTACAGTATATGCCTAATTATATGGTTATGAATCTGACAACAGCATTTCTGCATATCTTGGTTTGTGAACACAAGGAAAGGTTTTTTTCAGGTGTCCCTGATGCAGCCTGTTCCTGCCATATTTCTTGACTGGTATTGTTTTGAAAGATGGTCTTCAAGGAATACAAGAGGTGGCTAATGTTCCCTAAACTACTGATAGAACTATTGATTCTATTCTACTACTGGTAATAAATCAAACTGCAGTCAGTTGGCTTCTGAATCCAGGCAGGAATGTTGGAGTCCCAACTTATTTGGTCAAGTGGAGAGAAATAAATGAATTAGAAGAATAGGAAGAAGTTGGGAAAACATTTGCAAGGTCAAAGTTGCTGTTTGTCTGTCTGTTTGTTTCTTTTCATTCAACCAATTCATTAAAAGTGTATGACTGCCCTTCCAAACAACATATATTGAATTGTATCCTAAAGTTGATTGGTAGCCTGTGCAGTTCAAGAAGCAATGGTGTTTCATGGGTGTACTGCAATGGCTCTGTACTGTAAAAACTCATGTTTTTGCATTCTGTATCACTTTAATGTAGGTTAGTTCTTCATCCAGGAAATAAAATCACACTACATGGCAGGGTATTGGGTAACATGCACACCAGAGTTTTCTAAAATTCAGTGTGGGTTTAGGCCGTTACAAACAGGCCGTTCTGGATTGAGATACCGGTAATAGATTAGTAGGAAAAGAAATTTAATACTGTCCCACCCCACTTCTTCATCATTCTACCTTTCTTTAGCATCTAAAATAGCAAAACCCTCTTCACTTCAAATAAATCCCTACAAAACACAACCTTCCTGCCCCCCCCTCCATTACCTTCCCCAATGATCTGAATCAGGATAGGCTTTCAAGTAAAAGAAAACCCAGAGCTATTCGTTCTATATTTTCTGATCTTGAGGCGTTCAGGTTCACTTGAACACCCCCCCCCCAGGGTTGTGAGAGCACCATGTTAAAATCAGAACAAGAAGTCTCAGTAGACTCAAAGGGCTATTTGTTTTTGATTCCTAAAGCAGCATCACACCTGATAGTTTGTGAGGAACGCAAGTCAAAAAGTTTTTGCATTTATCTAGGTTGACTTAACATTATATTTCCTGAGGCAAAAGACCAAATGGTACTCTTTTCAAATCCCATCTATCAGAGACAAATATCCTCCACATTATGTGAGTTAAGAGAGTAGCTTAGGGGAACAGGAAGGTTGCAAAACATACTTTGCTCTGTCCTCCAACATTAGCCTCTTCCTGCTGCTTAACATCTTCTGCCTCCGGCAGCTGCCCCATTCTGCCTAATTGTAGGGCTGGCCCTGATATTTATAGCTTTATAATACTGGTTACAGTACATGAATTACATGTACCATGTACCATGAACCAAAAATCATTTATGTTGTTTGAAATAAAATCATCACATGATGACAATTTAATTTTTATGTTCTGGGCTTCGAACTGCAAATCTTTAATATGAACAGAACTTATCTCATTAATCATCATTATAGAGCTAGTCCCCTTTCATTAGAACATATTTCCATATTTTTATCTGCATTTTTATGGCAGGTTCTTTGATCTGTATTGCTGCTTAATTTCTAAAATAGAATGGGTTTCCCTATTCCTTTCTTAGAAAGATTTTCTGTCTTTCTAATCTAATAGGATGGTTTATTCTATGGTGCAAAGGACATGAACATCTTAGTAGTCCCTGGGAACATCTGGAATAGCCCTAGTTAGAAGCATATTAGGACGATTTTCAGATAGTAAGCAATGCGTAAAATGGGATAGTTTTATACAATTTATAAAGAAGAGAGTGGTGATTGAAAATACGAACTGTTGGTGATATATTTGGTTCTTCTGATTTTTGAGCTATTAAAGTTTGAAGGTGCTTTGTATAATAATGTAATTACAATGAATTGTGTGCAAAGGTATATTAACAGCTAGCATTGAATTGATCCAAGGGAACTATTTGCTCTCTCAGTTTTGTGGAACATTAATTGCTGATGAAGCCCTAGCAACTGTTCAAGCATTCAAGTGCTCAATACCAGTTCATGTTCCCAAACCATCTTCCCACATAGATGATCCTGCAGTAGTCAGATCTGATTTAATGCCAACATTCATAACCAATATTACGATTGCTTTTCTTAGACAGATCACAGTTATGAAGAAACAAAAAAACTTCTATGTCTGAAGGCAAGGAAGCTCTGTAAAACAACTTCATTTTTCATTATATCAAAAATACTTTTCATGACAAAACTGGATTAAAGTGACAAATTGTGCTCATTACAATGATTAAACAGCAAAGGCAGATGTGCCACTGCTGGGTTTTTGCCATGATCCTGAGAGTCCATTTACTTGTTGCCAAGGAACTGAATGCACACAGCATGGCTCTTTTTTATCATTTTAAAAGCCACAGCTGAGTGATTCTCAATAGAGATTGTAGTTGACAAATTAAAAAGAAATATGTAAAACAGCAGTGAATGTGAATCTGACTTTAAAAAAAAATCTTTTACAAATCCCAAACATTGAGTTTGATATGGGATGGATTAATTTCATTTTATTGTGCTATTATATTTACTTAACTACTTAACTGATCCATACATATGGATTAAACTATAGTTGTTTTCTAGACATCCAATTTGAGATCTGCTACATGTAACCAAGTTTAAGTAAAAGGAAACAAAAACGGGACAAAAACAATGTTGTTAGACAGATTGTCTAAGAACATTGTTTAGATTACAGCTAATGATTCAATTCTCATTATTGAGGACCAATGTATCCCCAATTTCTTTCTTTTGGTGAAGCAAGACAGTCAAACACCAACTGGTTGCATTCAAAGAAAAATCATCTTAAGAGTCACAATT